ATTATAATATATATATATATATATATATATATATATATATATATCATTTTATGGTACTTTATTAAAGAAAATCGATATGAAAATGTTTTTAATTTTAGTCAATGTTCATTTTTTTCATCTAATGCAAATTTAAATTACTTACAATATGATAAATAAACATTGTCAATAAATAAACTATTAATTTTTAAATTTTTGTTGTTTTAACCTCATCTTATATCTATATTATGTAATATGTAAGAACATATTGGCATTGAAATATATGTATTCTTTACTGTATACTCACTTTCAGTGTAAGATGAACAACAGGGTACATCAGATATGTTACCAAGTATATTCTGTGAAATTATCATCAAGGTACAATTGAAATTACAAGGATTCTCATTGTCTTTATCGACATTATCAGAGCAACAATATTTTTGTATAAATTGTTCGCTCAACTCTGTAGTGTTATTATGATGAACACAATATACTGAACAAATAACATAAAGCAATGTTTCAATCACGATACTTTTCGCAAACATTTTTCACTTAATCCATCTATGTATACATAAGTAGTGTATATATTATATTTATTTGGATTTTACGTAGAAAATATTTTTATACTTTAAAAGTTAATAATCTTTTGTACCGATGTATAAAAAAAATTCTTTTCTTGTCAACGTCTTTCCACCTTAACTTCTATTGCATTAATGATTCAAGTCTTTGTCTTAATTAAATATGTTTCCTCTTTCGTTTTCTTTTTTATCTTCTATCCCTACTTATTTTTTTTTTGCAATTTCCGGATTACTCAGCTTTTCTTCCATTACTTGTTTCACAAATAACCAAGGACTAGTTATTTCAATCTTCATTATAATCTTCATTCAATGTATATTTATCGCGTTGCTCAAATCATCTGGATTATCCGATTGATGCGTTCAAGCGATTTATAAAATAATCTATATTAGTTTATGACCTCAAAGTTTTATCTTTCATTCTTTGAAATTAAATAAACTATCATGTAGTTAATAGTACAATGTACAATATACAATTAGGTAGAAGTTGATTTTGACTGCAAAAATGAATAAAAAAAAAAGGAAGAAGCTTTATTATTTGAGATTTTGTTTTCAAATTTTCAACGAAATGTTTGAAAATTTTTTGAAGTACAAATATATTGATTGGATACGAATTAATTAATTAATATTATTATTATTATTATTATTTAATTATTGAAATAACACGTGTGTGAAAATAAATATACATAAAAGATAAAGATGGAATTAATTTTTTTTCATTTAGAAATTAGAGCTTTGTGTTTTAATTATTTGGAAAAAATGAATTGAAGAACGTGTGATAGTAATCGTGTCTCAATGATTACAATGATTATAAATAATTGAAAATTCATTATTTCCAACGTTGATTGACAAGAATTATTAATACGATTGAAAATTATATAATTTTATTATATACATTACACATAATATTATTACATTACTATTAATAAATATGAATTTTGCCTATTTGTATGTGCATATCAATATTCAACCGCCACTTATCAATTTTTTATATGAATTCATTACGACGACCATCATTCAAAATATATAACGGGTGAACTAATATTAATATACTATCCATAAAGAGCCTAGTATTTATCTACTAGAAAGTTTAATCAAAAATAAAATATAAAACGATTTTTTGGCGATTCAAATTAAATACTAAATAATAAATAGGATAATAATAACACTGAAAACTCTGATCATTATAATTATTAATTAATTGAATAATCGTTCAACAATTGTTCTATTTTATTTTTGTATTTTGCAGATTTGCGGAATGAGATAATACATTAGGTTTTAATATGTTAGGATTTTAATTATTCTACATGTGTAGAGTTGAATCTAGGGGCCAAAACGAACACAAAAATGTGAGAGATTCGAGATATAAAAGTAAATTAAATAAATTGCAATCTCTCTCTTTCTTTGTCTCGTTTCATTTTACGAAAATTTAAATTGTTTAATAAAAAAATATATCAACCGATTTTTGTATATTAACTTTGTTTGAATTTCTCTAAAATTGATCTCTAAAATCTCTAAAGATGTGCTACGAATATATTAGTAATCTGCACATACACAGAGCTAAAAAAAAAAATATATAAACAAACATTATAAACAAGTAGAATATAACAAATATTTTTTTATCGATGAAAAATTATATCATGAAGAATGAATTAATTATGATATTCAATATACTTTCTTTAACATATGCTTGGATTTATTTGTGTTCAGTTGGCAACACATACTAATGTTGCTGTCACGTTGTTATTCGATTAAGCTACGTGCTTTGTGATTGGATAATATTTTTTCTTAATAAAGCTGTAACGAAAGTTTTGCAAAAGAAGATATTACTTGAAATTTTACTTTTTATTTGAAGAAATCTTCAGTTTACAGATGTTGCAACATTTTTGGGACACATTGTATCTAATAATATATAAATTATAAAAAAATTTACATCAAAAAATTTTTTGCTATATAAAAAAAATTTTTTGCTATATAAAAAAAATTTTCAGGACAAAATTATTTAAATTTGAATAATCATGTATAATGGTGGGAAAGTATTTTTTTCAAAATCATTTTTTTTATAAGATTTAAAAATTATAAATGTTTTTTATGGCATGATTTTTTTTTTTTTATAAACGAATTCGACTTTGTATATTATAAATTTGAAATAATCTAAATCTTGAATATAGAAATTATGATTAAGAGAAATCTCAATATGTGGAATTACTTTATTTGAATCGTTCAAAATGATACAGCATTTAATCGTGCTTGGAGAGAAGATATAATAACATTTTCACAAAATACCGAGTTTTTTGCCATGTTTTCTTGGTTCTTTGCTAAATAATAAAATATTAATAAAATATTCTGTACATTTTTCTGTGCAGCAACAGAAAATTTTTTAAAGAATATTTTTAAATAATAGCGTATATAATTTTTAAACAAATTTTCAAATTATTAATATGGATGCCGATATGATAAAGTCCAGATTTTTACGAAAAGAAGAATCAAGAATCAATAAGATTCTATTATATTAAATTTTACATTAAACTTAGTATTAAACTTTTAGATTTATTTTTAATAATGAAGCAATAAGGAAAACATTTGATACACGCATATACACGCTACCATCACGTGATCAGTTAAATCCTTGATAGTTAAGTGTATGACACCTTTTATTTCATTGCATCTAATTTACATTTGAAATTTAAAATATTCAATATTCAATAAAGCATTTGATATTTTATTTTTGAAGAAATTATCTGCGATAAAAATGTGATAATTAAAAAATACATCAAGGATATAGCGGTATTTTATAAAATGTTTTGAGAAAATAAGTAAAATCTTTATTTTGAAGTTAAATTTTTATTTCGAAAAAATCATCCATCGTCGTTATACATGAAATTGTAATGGTTTCATATTAATTATAAAATGCAATGTAATTATGAAACAAATATAATTTTGTCATAGAAAAATTTACTATTTTTATTAAATGTAAAAAATGTAATTTTAAATTTATTATAAAAGCACTTTATACTTTGTCTTATAATTTGAATTTTTCTTCTTTAATCGATTTATTCCTTATCGGTCTTTATTTTATTTTCATGTAAATTACAATCATTTTATTCGATCATTTCGATTTTTCTTATATTATTATCTTTCCTGAAATACTCGTTTTTATTCCAAGATTTTTTATTATCATTTTTTCTCATTGATTCATTTTTTATTTAAGAAAATAATTCTTAAACCAATCCTTTTCTTAAATGCACACTTTTCAAATTTCATTCATTTTAAATTAATTGCAGTAAAGTACAAAAATCATTCAACAAATTTTAAGACTAAGAATTAAATTTATACACAGAAAAAAATGTATAAATTCATAAAATTTCATAAAATGGAAATTTAATATTGATTTGCAAAAAAGTCTTTTCCTCGTCGATTTCTCAATGATCTTGATATGATTAAAAGTGATCATTCAGGAATTTTTTCTGATTTTAATTTTCTAATCATTTTAGTCACAAGAAACTTTTAGCATTGAATTATATCTATATGTGTGCAATAGCATATGCGTCAGTATGTACACATGTATGCATAAAAGATGAGAACTTTGAACACAATTAAATGAATAAATTTTTTTGTTTTAATATATATGCGATCGTATTTTAATCTTACATAGATACAAATCAACAGATTCAGCAAAAAATGACCTAATATCATAAATTTTTTTTTCTCTTTAATATTTTTATGAATTAAAACAAGAATATTAATCATGGGGATCGATTATTATTTTTACATATTAAGAGACAAAATATTATTATTAGAGATTGAAAATATTTATTTTTTAAATTAGACACGTTTAATTTATATAAATATAATAAATAAAACAGAATATGTCTAATATATATGTAATAAGTATAAATATAAATATAATTCTAGAGTTCTTTTTCTCGAACCAGAAATATTTTTTATATCCAGCCTTTTAAAATTTTGAAATAATTATTTTAATTTAGATACGTGATTTATAATAATTGTTGAAAGGCTGAAATTTTAATATTTTACACTACAAAGTATGTACTGTAATCTATTGATAAAAACAGATTTCAATAATAAAATTTTCTTAAATATTTTTATTTTATATCATGTTAATTTAATAATTAAAATGAATTTCTGATCTCTGAAAATTTTTGATCGAGACAACAATATATTAAAAAGAAAGAACAGTTTCAGCATATTATACTCCATTTTATATTTATCACATAAAATATTGCACTTTTCCTTATATAAAAGTACTCTATTTAATATTTAATATAAAATAATATTTACATTTCAATTTGAAGTATTAAATTACTAAGAAACATAATATAAAAACTATGGAATGCAATACTCTACATCTATTCAAATTAAGAAAACAATTATTATACTATCATTATATAAATATGTATACATATTCTATATTTAAAATTTTAATACACAATTATTTCTCTTAAGATCAAGCCAAGAATTCAAGGCATACGATATCTTTTTATTTTTATTTGATTTAAAAGAAACATTGATTCACCTATCTACATACTGTAACATTATTGGCACATTCATATTAATTACATGTATTTTACATTCGTTCATAGTTCACAATTCCGCATCGTTTCCCTGGCAATTTGAATATTTCATTGATCGATTGCCCACATAATGACAACGAATGTTTATTCATTTCATCTTATTACGAAATATACGGGATGATTCATCAAATATCACCATCTGGAATTAAATAATATCAGGAAAGACAATGTTATTAATATTTTTGTAAATGAAATAGAATCTTTAAATAGAATCATTTTTTTTCACTGTATCAATTGATAAGAAAAAAGATTGTGAAAAAGATATTTTTTACAAAAAAATATTTATATTGAAAAAAAATTAATTAGAAGACATTTTAACTTGAAGTTTTTAAAATTTTCAATATAACAAAATAAAGAGAAGATGAACAGTAGAATTTCGCTTCAGGTGTTCTATTTATATTATATTATAATATATTTTATTCATTTGTAGTAAATTTTACAAACTTCAAGTTAAAAAAATATATTAATATATACTAAAAAATATAAATCAATGATTTTGATGAACATAAGA